ACTTGAGACTACACATCTAAATTCAAAATATTAAGCTGTGTAGTGATCTTGAGAGAAAGGATTTATACCGCTAGCACTATCACAATCCATGTTACCCTCAAGAGAAACACAAAGTACAAGAAAATTAGAGAAGTAACTGATGATGGGGCAACAACAGATTCTTTCTGTAAAAACTGAAAGAGAACATCCAACTAAGAATAAGATGGCACACAGAAGAGAGCAGCAGAATATTGTATGCAACTCTGCTAGAATTCATCTAGACCCATGTGACACTGGGTATGTCTACACTGCAAAGAAAAACCTGGCATTGAGTCTTAGAGCCCAGGTCAACTTATTTGGGCTCACAGGGCTGGTGCAGCAGCACTAAACAAACAAAAGCAGAGTAGAATCATAGAATCATAGAATATCAGGGTTGGAAGGGACCTCAGGAGGTCATCTAGTCCAACCCCCTGCTCAAAGCAGGACCAATTCCCAACTAAATCATCCCAGCCAGGGCTTTGTCAAGCCTGACCTTAAAAACCTCTAAGGAAGAAGATTCCACCACCTCCCTAGGTAATCCATTCCAGTGCTTCACCACCCTCCTAGTGAAGAAGTTTTTCCTAATATCCAACCTAAACCTCCCCCACTGCAACTTGAGACCATTACTTCTTGTTCTTTCATCAGGTACCACTGAGAACAGTCTAGATCCATCCTCTTTGGAACCCCCTTTCAGGTAGTTCAAAGCAGCTATCAAATCCCCCCTCATTCTTCTCTTCTGCAGACTAAACAATCCCAGTTCCCTCAGCCTCTCCTCATAAGTCATGTGCTCCAGCCCCCTAATCATTTTTGTTGCCTTCCGCTGGACTCTTTCCAATTTTTCCACATCCTTCTTGTAGTGTGGGGCCCAAAACTGGACACAGTACTCCAGATGAGGCCTCACCAATGTCGAATAGAGGGGAATGATCTCGTCCCTCAATCTGCTGGCAATGCCCCTACTTATACTGTAGACTGAGCAGGAACATCTACACTGTTGTTTTTAAGCTCCACAGCCCAAGCTCTGCAATCCCAAATCTCCCACAGCAGGCAGGAGCTGCAGGCAGGCCCTCACTGCCTGCAGCGGCTGGGAGCTGCGGAGTCGGCGGGGAGACCCTGCAGTTCCTGCCCACTGGGGCTGAATTCATGGAGGTCGGGGGAAGTCACGGATTCAGAGATTTCCATGACCTCCCTGAAAAAATCGTAATCTTAATCATAATACTTATAAGGAGCCCTTCTAGCCAGACTGCAAACTATACACAACATACAACAGCGAGGAAATTCTGGAGAACAGGATGAAGCTCTATAAATCACCATAATCATCTAACCAACGAAGACCCAAGGAACTATAAATCTAATCAATCCTTGTCTGCTGTATTCATTTTCAGCACAAGCACAATAAACTTATTACACTGTATTTCAATCAGGCTAGAATAAACCTCAAACTAACACTGTACATAAATGACTATTGGGAATGACAAATGAGAACTGCTGCTGTGTACTGCCAAACTTAACTAGAGAAAACTAGGAATGAAAAAATAAACTTGAGTTAAATTAATACTGTGATTAACACCGTCTCATCCCCCAACCCCACTATGTTACAATAAAGCCCCGCCATATTAGAGTTTAAGTTTAAATGCCATTCTTAACTCAGCCCAGAATTTAGGGTCACCTGGAGTTATGAAAGCTCAGATTCATAGGAGATCTTATCAACAGCAACCACCAGTTTTAAAGATGACACAGAGAGAGAAACAAATGAATTTGTCAACTTTTCTGTTTCTTTAGAAAATTTGAAGGCGGCCTGAATATTTTTTTTTAAATTGTGCTATTTTTTTTTTAACAAGTTAGAAAAGATTTTGCATACTCTGCTTTTCTTGGAAAACCTCTATGGACATATAGAGAACAAGTAGGTTTATAAGAATCACAAAAACGCTGGAAATGAAATCTGATTAACAGAGGATAAATAATTTGCATTCTGTTTAAACAGTGGTCCTAATTCTCCAACCTTTTACACTAGTGTAAATCTTTATATTGGAATAAAATGGCTGCAACAGACAGAAGAATCAAGCACATTTTTGTTTACTCCTGTTTAATTCAAAGGACCGGCAAATACAGTTAGGAAAAAACCTCCAGTGTTAAAAGTTAATACTCTCACTTTGTCAATTAATAATGTATAGAGCTTCCGGTACATATGGATGGGATTGTCTACATAGTAATGGAACCAAAATAACTAAACAGATTTTAATTCACACCTTTAGTTATTTTAGTTCACGTTTGTGTGTGGACATACTTGTTTCAGAATATAGAAGTGCTCCATTTCAAAATAACTTAATTCAATAAAAAAAAATCAAAGTTTTTCTAAATAAGGCACTTAATATAAAAAGAAAAAAATGGAAATACAGTTCTTTTCAGTATGTAATAAAACTCTTATTCCAGAATCAGAATAAGCCATCTGGTGGTTTATACCAAAATAAATATTCTTGAATAATTATTTAGGAATAGCTATTTAGGTAAATTTCCAAGTGTAGACAAACCCTAACTTATGCTCTTAAGCAGCTTTCAGGTCTTACAAACACTACTGTCAAAGGCAAACCTGTGTCTGTCTGATCATTGTTAGCAAGCCAAAGCCATAAGGCTTTATATTGCAATTGTTTGTTTGTGATTTGTCTAAAGTTTTTCTTTCATATAACTCATTTATTCTCACATTCTCCTTCAAATACCCTTTCAGATAAAGATAAAGCATACAGAGCATGCTCAGCATACAATATCCTGATTGCACACCATATTCAGTGGTGATATAAGGTACTAAAAAAGTGTGGTATCTGTAGATGTTTCTTAAGTACATGCTGGGATATTTCTGCACAAGCCTTCAGTTAGCAAATGTAAGGCAGCTACTTCAAAAACCTAATATAGTTTTAAAAACAAAAGGGAAACAGGTTTGATGTGCCATATAGAGTGAGGAATTCCCAGCGCAAGATGCACAAACAAACATTTTTCAAATGATTTCTTTTAAAAGGAAATGCTGACAGGAGACCAGCAGTGAAGGAACACACACAAATTAGGCAAGTAGTTGACAAGTATGTTTGTTAGAAAGAACAGCCATGTAATACACAGCTTTTAGAAGTATACCATACAATTTTATATTCTATTAGCAACCTGTTAAGTAAGAGCCTTAGGCACAAGTGAAATAACCATCGAAAACTTTTACTATTACTTCAGTTTGCTACCGCTTAAAAAGAAAAGTAGGAGGGAAGGAGTGCCAAAGGAAATGGATATATGTACGCACCTGTGAGCTTGTCTGTTTGTAACTTTGGTGTCAACAGAGTGGAAGCTGTACAAGGCAGCACCATATTATTTCCCTTAGATATCAACATATTTTCCTGATAGCCGCAAAAGTATTGGAACAACTTATCTAATTAAGCTAACAATCGCCATTGACATGAGAGTTACTGTATCTTCCTGGAAACATAATTTAAGACTCCACTCTCTCTTTCTTCCACCAAATACTAACAGAGATATGTAATCTATCACTGAAATCAGCCTCTGTACCAGATGACTGGAGGATAGCTAATGTAATGCCGCTCTTTAAAAAAGGCTCCAGAGGCAATCCTGGCAATTACAGGCCAGTCAACCTAACTTCAATATCAGGCAAATTGGTTGAAATTATACTAAAAAACAGAATTGTCAGAACCAGATGAACATGATTTGTTGGGGAAGAGTCAACACGACGTTTCTAAAGGGAACTCATGCCTCACCAATCTATCAGAATTCTTTGAGGGAATCAACAAGCATGTGGACAAGGGTGATCCAGTTGATATAGTATACTTTGACTTTCAGAAAGCCCCTCCATATAACAGAAGAACCAGGTGTTACCTGATGACGTTAATAGGCAGTAGGTTTAAAACAAACATAAGGAAGTATTTCTTCACACAATGCAGAGTCAACCTATGGAACTCATTACCAGTGGACGTTCGAAGGCCAAAAGTATAACTGGGTTCAAAAATGAATTAGATAAGTTCATGGAGAATAGGTTCATCAATGGTTATTAGCCAAGATGATCAGGGACGCCATGCCATGCCCTGGGTCTCCCTAAAACGCTGACTGCCAGAAGCTGGGACTGGATGATGGCAGATGGATCACTCGATAAATTGCCCTGTTCTGTTCATTCCCTCTGAAGCATCTGATACCGGCCACTGTCTGAAGACAGAATACTGGACTAACTGAACCATGGGTCTGACTCAGTACAGCCACTCTTATGTTCTTATGTTTTAAATTTCTGTCATTCATTCTGTTCACTGCTGACAGTGGTCTCTGTCAAAGCATATTAGATGGACAAACCTACAACAACTCATTCAAGGCCTGATCCTGTAGGGAATGCCTTTGCCTTTTGAAAGGCAGCATCTTTAACTCCCACTGTGGTCAATGAGATTTGTGGACACTTAGTATGTCACAGAGTTGAGCCATACGAGTTCGAATCTCCAGCTAAAATTCAAATTCAGAACACCAGAGAAAGGAGGATCCATTAGTGTGTTAAAGCACGGTGTAGTTTGCCTGATTAAGCTTTGTGCATTAAGAAGATTGCTTGACTTACAACTAAAAAAAAAAAAACCAATTATCAAGACAAACTTTTTAAAACTCTATTAGCATTCATATGCCACAATGCAAAGTGACAGGGAATATATTTTCTAATATTAACTCTACCTCCATCAATTTACAATGCAATTGCTTTTTCCCAGAACATTGATTTGTTCAATTTCTCTATCTTTCTAAGTCTGTTAACTTAAAAAAAAAAAAAAAAAAAAAAATACTGTGTCACTGCTGACATTTTAAAGATTGTTTGTACTTTTCATCAGCATTCAAAGAATATTTTCATATTATGTTTCTATACATTTCTAGTATTTTCAACTGTCATTTTCTAAAAGATTTTTCTATTGCTATGAAGAATTAAACATATTGAAATCTTTGAAAGAGTCACAGTAAAAGTGTACCTGTAACCGGAATATTTTGTGAGATTGATAACTGTACATCTCCTGTTCCAGGCGGCATGTCAATTACTAAGTAGTCCAGTTGACCCCAGTCTACCTAAAAAAGATTTAAATGCATTTAAAAAAGAGAGTTGCACCTTCTGGGAAACAAAGCCTGAAATTAAACTTGGTACAATGTATAATAAATGCACCATTGGCACACCTCAGGAGACTGATATTATAAATCCCTTATAGTCTTGCTTTCAGCAAGCAATCAAGACAGATTTTCTAAACAATTTGCAAATTTGTTGGCTACTTGAAGCTATGCCTATGAGCATAGCTTTGCCCTTCTTATGAAGGATGATGGTCTTTGACATTTTCCCCACAAAATGTAATCACAATCTCATTATTCTAAGTTGTTTATGTCAGAAATGCTGAATCATGTAACAGAGGTCATAAGAAAGGGTTATATAGATCTCAAGTCAAACTACTACTTCTTGTAACAGTATTCCTTAGCAACTGTTTTCATTAATTTTTAAAACAATTTTGCTCACTGTTTATAACAGGGGTCGGCAACCTCTGGCACGCGACTCGGGCCGGGCCAGTTTATTTACCTGCCGCATCCGCAGGTTCGGCTGATCGTGGCTCCCACAGGCCACGTTTTGCCGCTCCAGGCCAATGGGGGCTGCGGGAAGCAGCGTGGGCCGAGGGATGTGCTGGCTGCGTCTTCCCACTGCCCCCATTGGCCTGGAGCAGTGAACCGCGGCCAGTGGGAGCCGCAATCGGCCGAACTTGAGGACGCGGCAGGTAAACAAACTGGCCCACCCCGCCAGGGTGCCTACCCTGGCGAGCCGCGTGCCAGAGGTTGCCGACCCCTGGTTTATAACTTCTTAGATGCTTGAAACTGTATAAACTGCCTTACCAAATTTTTTTTCTAGTTTGTTATTGCGGTGTTACTCAGGAATGAAGAGCTATCAAGACTGGCTTTTTATTAGGCAAAAAATAGCAGTGAAGTATTGGGTTAAACAAAATCAAAGGAGATAATTATATAGATTTAGCATGTTCATAAGACACAGAAAGAATATATATGTTAGATTTGGTGCCTAACAACCAGCAAAGCTTCCTGTTAAAAATACTGGGCCCAAATCTGGGGGTGCTGTGATTATTTTGTGCTATTTTGTATGCTGTAAAGCAAGCATATAGTTTGCTTAAACATTTCCCAAGGAGATTTCCATGCATCATGAGGATCCCAGTTCAATGAAGAGATGATATTAAGTAGAACTAGTGCGATCTAACTACCACTGGGGCTTTCCTCTCTCCGGCACTGAGGCTTTTGAGAGTACAACTGGATGAAAAAAAAAGGGGGGGGGTGTAGGGAAGCCGTGTTTCTGATAACAAACACATTGGTCATGGGGTGACCTTTTGGTGCATTCTGACTTACACCTACATGTGTAAGATAGAGCTTTCGGCTGCTCTAATTTAGGAGAACACCTAGCAAGTAATGGGATTTGGCTAGACTTTTTATTTTATATACTGAATCATATCAGTAGCATGATATAAAGTGCAAACAACTGTCAAATTACCATTTCTTGTTGTTTAGTACTGTTCTTTATCAGCAGTGCGTGCATTACTCTGTTTTCAATATGTCCTTGTATAGATAATCATCTTGTGAGGACAATATACTTATCTCAGCAACTGAGTTAATTGTTGCAGGCAGATCAGGACTGGAGCTATGATCTGTGGTCTTGAGCCAGCTTGGGGCTTTCACAAAGATTTTTTCTCTCCTTGATAGGAGGCGCTGCAGCAGCAGAATTCTTTATTTCCAGTGTAACCCACATTCCCTTTGGCCATGGGGGGGATGCCCCATTAATGGGGGAGAGGAGGAGAGAAACTAAGAGGTCAGTAATTGGCCACAATCAATTTTTGTTTTATTCTTACATTAAACATTTGTGAAAAACTGTTTGTAATTTGTGATAAGTGTTTTTGGGTAAAGTGGAATCCTGGTACATGGTATCCTGATCTTCAAAACCCAAAAAACTGCTCAAATTAGCAGCTGGATTATAATTAAGTACAGATGAGGTGCAAATTAACAAAATTGAAGCTAACCTCACCTAGTGCTGCTTTAACTTACCTCCCTCTGCTGCCCTACCACAGTTTTCAGTATGTATCATCAGATCAAGTTACAGGAAAGAAAAAAAACAGTTACTTACCTGTACTGTAACTGTTGTTCTTCAAGATGTGATGTAGATGTGTATTCCACATGGTGTGTGCGCTCCCAGCACACCAAAGCCAAAGAACTTTGCCTAACAGGGCCCATAGGGTCAGTGCTTGTGCCCTGCAGCCCTAGCCCCTCCTCTGGCCGTGTAAAGGCTGAGCCACCCCGAACCTCCTCAATTCCTTCGCATGGAATGTTGAGAGTACAGGCTCTGACGCAGAGGTGACAGAGATTGGGTTGTGGAATATGTTTGCATCACATCTCCACGAACAGTTACAGTACAAGTAAGTAGCCGTCTTTTCTTCTTCAAGTAGATGCAGCCCTGTATTCCACATAGGTCACTCACAAGCATTACTCACAGGAGGTGTGGCTCATAGTCTATTTAAACAAAGACTGCTGGATTACCTTCCCAAAGTATCTGATCTGGATGCACTGCAATGGCATAGTGGTGTGTAAACGTATGTATATAGGACAAAACAGCAGCCCCACAAATGTCCAATATAGGAATGTCACTTAGAAATGCCATCAGCATTGTCTCGGTCCTTGTGGAATGAACTTGCACCTTTTGGGAGGCACAGTCTGAGCTACTTTGTATGCTGTCATGATACAGGACGTTATCTACCTAGAGATAGTCTGTGGTGAGACTGCTTGCATATAAAACAAACAGATGGGATGAAGAACGGAAAGGTTTAGTCCTATCCAGGTAAAAAGCGAAACATTGCTAGACATCCAATGTGTCAGGACGCTATTCATCTGAGGTTGAATGTCGTTTAGGGAAGAACACTGGTAGAAACAGAACTTGTTTCAAGTGAAACTGAGAAACCACTTTAGAAAAAAAACTTAGGGTGCAGCCACAGGGTTACTTTGTCTTCATAAAATTGCATATAAGGAGGATCTGCCATCAAAGCTTGCAACTAACACACTCTCCTTGCAGATGTTATCACCGAAAGAGAGATAGGAAAGGGAGAAAGAAGAAGAAGTTGCCAGAGGCTTTAATGGAGATCCCATAACGGCTGCTAAGACAGCATTAAAGTCCCACAAAGGAACTGGTTCTTTAACCGGCGGGTGGAGACAAATGACTCCTTTCAAGAACCTCACTACCATGGAGCTCAAAAATACCCATTTCCCATGTATGGGTAGATGAAATGTCAAAATCGCTGCCAGGTGCATTCTCAATTAACTAAATGCACAACCAGACAACTGAAGGTGTAGCAGGTACTCCCAAGATGTCCTGGATACAAGCCATCTTCTGTAGAATTCCCTGGGCTAACAATCACATCGAGAACTGCTTCCACTTGGCCAAATAGGCCACTGTGGTGGAAGGTTTTCTACTGTTGAGCAAGATTTGCCAGATTGCCTTCAAACACCATTGCTCCTCCTCATCTAACCTGGTCTGTTCACATAATACATCACAGTGGTATTGTCAGTAAGGATGTGCACTGATGAGTCCCTGATGATCTCAAAGGGCGTGACAGACATTGTAGATGGCACAAAGCTTCAGGATACTGATGTTCCGAGAAGCTTCCTGTTCCAATCACAGGCCTTGACCTTTCAGTAATCCCAGATGTGCCATCCAACCTATTAAAGAGGTATCAGTGACAATAGTCCTGGTCAGTGGAAACCGAGCGAAGAGAACACCCAGACACATATTGCCCTGAGCCACCCACTACCATAAGGAGCTAGGATCAGCAGAGGAAGTTGGACCATTCTGTCCAAGTGGTGACTGTTCAGATCACAGACTGACTTCAACCGTGTCTGAAGGAGGATGAAGGTACAACCTGGCATACTGGACTTCCAGTTTGCATGCAACCATATGACCTAGCAACCTCAGGCATGCTCAGCTGTGGCTGAGGGTAGAGACTGCAGTTCCAGACATAGATGGCAAATTGCGTGGAATTTCTCAGTCAGCAGAAATGCTCTCAAACTCAGACTCTATCAGGGCCCCAATGAACTCGATGCTTTGAGTTGGAACCAATGCTGACTTCCTGCTGTTTAGGATGAGACCTAAGCTATCAAATAAATGTAGTGTGAACTGAACATGAGAGAGGACTTCTTCTCTGGACTTGCCCCTCAGTAACCAATCAGCCAGACACAGGAAGATATGAATTACCCTATTCCTGAGTTACACTCTCACCACAATCATGCATTTCATAAAATCCCAGGCAGCGGAAAACAGACCAAAAGGGAACATTGTGTACTGATAGTGCTGGTCTTCCACAACAAACCGGAGAAACCTCCTGTGGCTTGGGAGAATTGCTACATGGAAATAATCGTCTTAACTATCCATGGCAGCAAACCAGTCATTGTGATTTAATGTGAAGAGAATATTTGCAAGTGTGACCACACAAAATCTCACTTATCTGATGTGTTTGTTGAGGTTGCAAACATCAGGAGGGCTGAGACCTGTCCTCTTGGGCTTGTGAACCAAGAAATACAAGGAGTAGAATCCCTGTCCCTAATGCTGTAGGGGAGCCTCCTCTATAGCCCCCAAAGCCAGTAGAGACTGAACCTGCTCGAGGAGCAGTGTATGTGTGTGGGGGGGGCATAATAAGGAGACATGAGGAAAGACTAAGAGAATGTTCCATAGTTCCATGCACTCCATAGATTTGAATTCCAGCATTTATCTACATGCACTCTAACTGTCTTGACTGTATGAGATATAGCTATATTGAATGAGGGAGGGATGGGTTGATGTAGCTTGACAGAGCTGTTACTGGAATATGACAAAGGAGGTTTTCTGGCATAGCTATATTGACAAACCTTCCTAGTATAGATATAGATTATACCAGTATAAATGTGCTTCTGCAAGTATAGCTTACACCAGTTTCCTGAGATATATAAACTATACTGGCAAGAGCACTTTATGCTAATATAAACTGTGTCTATACTGGCAAAAACACAGT